GGGTGGTGACTGTACTGGTGGGTGGTGACGGTACTGGTGGGTGGTGACGGTACTGGTGGGTGGTGGCGGTACTGGTGGGTGGTGACGGTACTGGTGGGTGGTGACGGTACTGGTGGGTGGTGACTGTACTGGTGGGTGGTGACTGTACTGGTGGGTGGTGACTGTACTGGTGGGTGGTGACGGTACTGGTGGGTGGTGGCGGTACTGGTGGGTGGTGACTGTACTGGTGGGTGGTGACTACTGGTGGGTGGTGACTGTACTGGTGGGTGGTGACGCTACTGGTGGGTGGTGACGGTACTGGTGGGTGGTGACGGTACTGGTGGGTGGTGACGGTACTGGTGGGTGGTGGCGGTACTGGTGGGTGGTGACGGTACTGGTGGGTGGTGACGGTACTGGTGGGTGGTGGCGGTACTGGTGGGTGGTGACGGTACTGGTGGGTGGTGACGGTACTGGTGGGTGGTGGCGGTACTGGTGGGTGGTGACGGTACTGGTGGGTGGTGACGGTACTGGTGGGTGGTGACGGTACTGGTGGGTGGTGACGGTACTGGTGGGTGGTGACGGTACTGGTGGGTGGTGACAGTACTGGTGGGTGGTGACGGTACTGGTGGGTGGTGACAGTACTGGTGGGTGGTGACGGTACTGGTGGGTGGTGACTGTACTGGTGGGTGGTGGTACTGGTGGGTGGTGACGGTACTGGTGGGTGGTGACAGTACTGGTGGGTGGTGACGGTACTGGTGGGTGGTGACGGTACTGGTGGGTGGTGACGGTACTGGTGGGTGGTGACGGTACTGGTGGGTGGTGACGGTACTGGTGGGTGGTGACGGTACTGGTGGGTGGTGACGGTACTGGTGGGTGGTGACAGTACTGGTGGGTGGTGACGGTACTGGTGGGTGGTGACGGTACTGGTGGGTGGTGACGGTACTGGTGGGTGGTGACGGTACTGGTGGGTGGTGGCGGTACTGGTGGGTGGTGACGGTACTGGTGGGTGGTGACGGTACTGGTGGGTGGTGACAGTACTGGTGGGTGGTGGCGGTACTGGTGGGTGGTGACGGTACTGGTGGGTGGTGACGGTACTGGTGGGTGGTGACGCGGTATGGTGGTGTGGTGGACGGTACTGGTGGGTGGTGACGGTACTGGTGGGTGGTGACAGTACTGGTGGGTGGTGGCGGTACTGGTGGGTGGTGACGGTACTGGTGGGTGGTGACGGTACTGGTGGGTGGTGACGGTACTGGTGGGTGGTGACGGTACTGGTGGGTGGTGACAGTACTGGTGGGTGGTGACGGTACTGGTGGGTGGTGACGGTACTGGTGGGTGGTGACGGTACTGGTGGGTGGTGACAGTACTGGTGGGTGGTGGCGGTACTGGTGGGTGGTGACGGTACTGGTGGGTGGTGACGGTACTGGTGGGTGGTGACGGTGCTGGTGGGTGGTGACGGTGCTGGTGGGTGGTGACGGTACTGGTGGGTGGTGACGGTACTGGTTGGTGGTGACGGTGCTGGTGTGTGGTGACGGTACTGGTGAGTGGTGACGGTGCTGGTGGGTGGTGACGGTACTGGTGGGTGGTGACGGTGCTGGTGGGTGGTGACGGTGCTGGTGGGTGGTGACGGTGCTAATGGGTAGTGACGGTGCTGGTGGATGGTGACGGTGCTAGTGGGTAGTGACGGTGCTGGTGGGTGGTGACGGTGCTGGTGGGTGGTGAAGGGAATGTGATGACTAGGTTGGTGAGTGGTGACACTAGGGGGCTGACGGCGGCGGTTTGAGTTATGACAGTAAAAGGTAATTAAAGGGAGGGGCGTGATGGTGGCAGTGGTAATGGACGGGTGTGGTGATGATGGTAGAGGTATTTAAAGATGGACATTTAATGACAATACATGTTAATGAAAGGTGAAACAAAAAAAAGTGGGCAGACGGTGCAACATAGAAACAGTGAAAAGCAGCGGTGCCGTAAGTACACCGGAAAACTTTAAGTGTAATGGGCCCAAGACTGTAGACTCTCATCTCATGCATGAAGGGAGTTACGAGTAGGCTCCTAGCTGTCTTCAAGAGGGACTTGATTACCAATAGATCCCTGGTTGTCTTCAAGAGGGAGCTGGACAGATACCTAAAGTCAGTACCTGATCAGCCGGGCTGTGGTTCGTACGTTGGACTACGTGCGGCCAGCAGTAACAGCCTCGTTCATCAGGTCCTGATCCACCGGGAGGCCTGGTCATGGACCGGGCCACGGGGGCGTTGATCCCCGGGCTGTGGTTTGTACGTTCGACTGTGGACTGCCAACAATAACAGCCTGGCTGATCAGGCCTTGATCTACCGGGAGGTCTGGTCATGGACCGGGCCGCGGGGGCGTTGACCCCCGGAACAACTTTCACGTAGGTAAACAGGTAGGTAGAGATGTGATCGTAGTGATTAGAGAGGGGTGATGGTAGTTAGAGGTGATGGTAGTAGTTATTAGAGAGGGGTGATGGTAGTAGTTATTAGAGAGGGGTGATGGTAGTAGTTATTAGAGAGGGGTGATGGTAGTAGTGGTTATTAGAGAGGGATGATGACAGTGGTTATTGTAATCATCACCCACATCATCATCCACCCAGCATAACCGCAGCCCTCCACAACCTTTCACCCATCACAACCACCCCTACAACTACCTACCACAACCACCGCCCACTACAAACCATAACTGCCGTCCACTACAGCCACATCCCACATCTACCTACCACAGTCACCAAGACTCACGAAATCGTAATGACACGATTGCAAACAAACCATACCCCGGCCGGGATTGAACCCGCGGTCAGAGAGTCTCAAAACTCCAGCCCGTTGCGTTAGCCACTAGACCTGCTAGCCACAATAAGATTTGTCCAACTAGGTATATTTCTACACCATAGGAAGGTTAGCACAGGCACCTCTGTGACCACAAATGCAAGTTCTTACAGACGAATCTCCAGCTAGCGTGGCCGTGACGAACTCTAGCTCAAGTCCCTGCCTCCCGGCAGATCAAGGTAACCCACACCCTGGTCCCAGACCAGGCCTCCCGGCAGATCAAGGTACCCCACACCCTGGTCCCAAGATCAAGGTACCCCACACCCTGGTCCCAAGATCAAGGTACCCCACACCCTGGTCCCAGACCAGGCCTCCCGGCAGATCAAGGTACCCCACACCCTGGTCCCAGACCAGGCCTCCCGGCAGATCAAGGTACCCCACACCCTGGTCCCAGACCAGGCCTCCCGGCAGATCAAGGTACCCCACACCCTGGTCCCAGACCTGGCCTCCCGGCAGATCAAGGTACCCCACACCCTGGTCCCAGACTAGGCCTCCCGGCAGATCAAGGTACCCCACACCCTGGTCCCAGACCAGGCCTCCCGGCAGATCAAGGTACCCCACACCCTGGTCCCAAGATCAAGGTACCCCACACCCTGGTCCCAAGATCAAGGTACCCCACACCCTGGTCCCAGACCAGGCCTCCCGGCAGATCAAGGTACCCCACACCCTGGTCCCAGACCAGGCCTCCCGGCAGATCAAGGTACCCCACACCCTGGTCCTAAGATCAAGGTACCCCACACCCTGGTCCCAGACCTGGCCTCCCGGCAGATCAAGGTACCCCACACCCTGGTCCCAGACTAGGCCTCCCGGCAGATCAAGGTACCCCACACCCTGGTCCCAGACCAGGCCTCCCGGCAGATCAAGGTACCCCACACCCTGGTCCCAAGATCAAGGTACCCCACACCCTGGTCCCAGACCAGGCCTCCCGGCAGATCAAGGTACCCCACACCCTGGTCCCAAGATCAAGATACCTCACACCCTGGTCCCAGACCAGGCCTCCCGGCAGATCAAGGTACCCCACACCCTGGTCCCAGACCAGGCCTCCCGGCAGATCAAGGTACCCCACATCCTGGTCCCAGACCAGGCCTCCCGGCAGATCAAGGTACCCCACACTCTGGTCCCAGACCAGGCCTCCCGGCAGATCAAGGTACCCCACACCCTGGTCCCAGACCAGGCCTCCCGGCAGATCAAGGTACCCCACACCCTGGTCCCAAGATCAAGATACCTCACACCCTGGTCCCAGACCAGGCCTCCCGGCAGATCAAGGTACCCCACACCCTGGTCCCAGACCAGGCCTCCCGGCAGATCAAGGTACCCCACACTCTGGTCCCAGACCAGGCCTCCCGGCAGATCAAGGTACCCCACACCCTGGTCCCAGACCAGGCCTCCCGGCAGATCAAGGTACCCCACACCATGGTCCCAGACCAGGCCTCCCGGCAGATCAAGGTACCCCACACCCTGGTCCCAAGATCAAGGTACCCCACACCCTGGTCCCAGACCAGGCCTCCCGGCAGATCAAGGTCTCATTTAATCTTGTTTTCACCAACTTATTCTTCCCTTATCACCACTTTCCCCCTCACCCCACAAGTGTGTTACCTAAACAATCTAGATCAAGAAGTTTTCGTCAACCAGCCTGTTACTGCTAGCCGCACGCAGTCTCCGAGCTGCAACCATTGGATGATGTAGTGTGTGGACATCGTGCAACTGGTGGTAGTGGTTGTTCATTCGTCAGGAAACAGGACAAATGTTTTCTGACAGTTTTCAGTCGTATGATCAGTTAACTGGAAGTTTTGGTCAAATGAGCGAGGTTTTCTGGTGATTTACCGGTCCACTAGTTAGAAATTATAGATCACATCATGTAACACGTAGTGAATTTGTGTACTAATGATCAAATGCACTAGGGGTGCCTTCGTCCTGGTATCAAGTGAACTCATGGTGACTGTTATTGATTTGCCCCCATTATTATTATTACTCTTGATAATGTTTATGTTGGGATCCTCTTGATGGATAGCTCGAAATTGATGGTCTTCGAACTCTAAATTTGGGACCGTTTTTCGTCCATTGGTTAATTAGTTTTTTTTGAGTATAGGTTTATTTTAAAAATCTCAACTCATTGATTGATGATGCATTAAAAATTATGAGACGACATGTTCATCAGGGGAAATTCTCGTGAACTCGATGTAAACGTTTGTCTCGACATGGGAGTTGCCACGTCGCATATTGAGCGTCAACCATAAACAGCAGTGCTAGTGTGTGTATTTGAGAGGCAGGTGACTGGGAGTGTATGTATCATCAGATAAGTCTCTCAACAGGTGTATAACAACATCCAATAATACGAAAGGTTTCCTTAGAGGAGCTGTGGGGGGTTAACAGAATGAAAAATTGTGGAGCATGAGCGCGAGGGGAAGTCACGATCATAGCGTAGAGCCAGGGATGTGTAGTGAAGCGCTGCGGTGTGCGTTAGTGAGCGTGCTGTTGTGGAAGCTGTTGTAGTGCTGCCTCCACCTCCCCAGTGTCAGCTCCCACGTGTTCTTACAACCTTACTTTGCGGTAGCCACGCAGGCAGTCAGCGTCGCTGCTCCGCGCCCTCACTGTGTCGCTCTCCTCGTCAAAGCTTGGTGGTAGGGCTTTACGTTGGCCCGGGACACCCCCGCTAGTCATACAAAACGACTGTCTGTGACCGGTAATAGCTTGAGTTTTTCATGCGTACTCTAAAGTTTATTCTTGGACAGATATGCCACAGATGAAGATGCAGATACTCACGAAAGTAATATTGAAATATAATCGGCATGCTGTGAAAACTTCAATAGCTACTTGTGTGCGTTAATATTTACAAGTTATTATGCATTAGCGTGTATTTATTAAAAGGAATATTTGTCGGAATTGAAACTAATGACATTGGAAAATGTGGCAACTGTGTTTGCTTTAGTGGAGTAGTGAAGTGAAGCATTGGCTGAGAGACGGTAGAGAATAAATCTTGGGCAGGGTGATTAGCCGCCAAGCATGTGCCATCACTATTATATATTATAAGATGTGCCCTTTTTAAGTGCAGAGACGCAGTCATGTCTTCGTCATTAATTTTAATAGTGTTCTCGCTCAACACAGGTATATCGTTGGTGTTTTGAATCTTGTGAAGTATTATAATTGTGCGTAGTAGAATAGGTTATGAATATTACCTTTGGGATATTGGCATATTGCCTTGGAAACCCTGTTGTGACGGAACATCAACTAAAGAACGTAGCGACTCTGGTTGCTAGTTTACTACTTGAAGTAGTGCTGTCCACGCTACTTCGTAGTATCATCTAGGTGGCTGCCCTGCACGTCTTGCCCATGAAGGTCCTTCATAACATTGAAACCGCCATTTGTGCCATCTATCTTAACACACGTCACTTCCTCTAACGAGCTCTGGTAATAGGAATACTGCAGGTGAACTGGGTGTCAGTAATGGCGGCGGCAGTAAAGTAAGTAAAACAGTCAAACTCGCCAGCCGCTAGGAGAAGCTTTCTACACGCGAAGTAGAGGCTGTTCCCAGGTGTATAATGGGTGGTGCCCGGCCAGTGGGTAGCTGTTTGGTACTAGTGATTGGCAAGTGACTGGGTTGGTTGTCGTTAACGTGTTATTACCTAGCACTAGTAGATTCATGAGGGTTCATTGTCGTTCATTAAGTTTTAAGTAGTACTTGGTACACAACCAGTTTTATTGCTACTTATCTGGGCTCGTTAAATAGTACTCTATGAACTAATCTCGTTCGTTGTCGTCTTTATAAATGTATTAGGGAGGACTCAAAATATATAGAAGGTTTGTTTCTGTTTTAAATTTTGGGAAGAAAACCTAAGAAAGAAATATCAGCTGTTAAATAGTTTTATATAACCTTACGAGTAGTCTAATAAGTTATACAGTCTCAATGCTAATTCTTAGTCCTTTGCCTTTCATAAATCATTTTTTTAATCTGAACGGTAATAATTCCAGAGTAAATAATTTTTTTTTTTTAAGAAATGTGAGATGATGTTTGGATGGTGCGAAGGTCATGGTAAATAAAATGAAGAAAAGATTTTTGTACCATATTTTGATCTTTCTGCTCTGGATTTGTTGTTAGACGCTCACATATGCTGTGTATACAAATGTGAAAAAGATATTGAAGGTTTCGTGAGTCATAATGTTATGCTAGACCCAGACTTGAGACTGTTGATACACTTAGCTCGCTCAATCTGTAGGTGATATCAACACCTGCATTACTTTTTAAGGGTGATACCAATACCTGTGTCACTTAGTAGTGAAAAATGATACCAACACCTATTCAGCCTGCTGCAAGCAGATATCCGAAATATTGCGGAAACACCTGTAAAAGTTTTCTAGAGGGATATGGGTTACTGCTGCCTTCAAATACCCGATCAACCAGGCTGCGATAAATGTGTGGCCCAGCCGACCTTCAGTAACAACCAGATTGAACAGGCAATCAGCAGAAAAGCGTTCCCCTAGGCAGAACTGAGGGTAGAAAAACTCGAAATCAGTCACAGGTTCTGATCTTCAGGGGCCATCCACGCCTATTTCTGCAGTTGGTGGTTTCTGGGAGTGTTTCAACGTAGTACGGCGGACGCTTACCATGTGTCGGAGCTCCGTGCTCTTATATGGCCAGTTTACCGCTGCAGAGGAGCCGGCACCCACCCAGGACCTTAAGACTCAGCTCGTGAAATTCCTCTACCATGAACACACCGACCTGACCGGAGAATGAACCCGGGACCTTGAGAGTGAAGGCTAGATATCTTACCCATGTTATGCATCCCAAGAACACTTATTTGATAATGTAAGCGCTGGCCTGCGGTATGCTGACACGGACTAGTATCGGAATCGCTTGGTGAAATGTGATTCATCTTTTACTCTGCTTTGAAAACTGTTGGGAAATATAGTATGCTGTACATAATAGGTTCCAGGTTCCTAGCATAAGTTTTCTTTGTTCTCTTGCTGTATCCAGTGTGAGAGTACCTGAGGTCTTGCGAGTGCGCATCAAGCTCAGGATGTGCAATAGCCGCCGGAGCTACCACTTTATCGTGCACCTTATATCCATATCCCATGAACATAGGGATACACAAAAAGCCTTGAAACTAGGCTTCGCCCAAAAAAAAGGGTGACAAAACTTTAAATGGCATGAATTTTCTGGAAATGTAGGTTTGTAAATTTCATATTGCATCATCGTATATGGAAGACTACATCCTTCAATCAGGGGAATGTCTTTATACTGGTGAAGTGCTTCTGATTCAAGGAATTTGAGCAACTGGTTTCTTGAATCAAACATGACTACCTCCCATTCAGTGTATGGTCATATTGAGAGGTATGTGTACTGCTGACTGCAAGTTGACTACCAAAGCGGTGATAACTAGCGATTAGCGGTTATTTGCTAAATTGTCTTTTTAAATATTTGTTTATCCATTCAGGGTAACAATCTCTACAATTTAATTCACTAACAAATTTATCAGGATTTTCTTGTTTGTCAGAATTAGGTGAAACACGTTCCTCCTAGTTGGCTGTCACCGTGTGTTGAAGAAAAGCATTCCTGCACTTCTTTAAGGGGTCGTATCCACTATATACATGTGATCAATTTCCTCTCATTATTTTAATTTAAAAATCCCCCTCGATGATTTCCATTTTCCTGTCTAAAAGTTTTTACAGTTTCGTGGCTTTCGTCAGTGTTTAAAAATTCAGAATATGGATTTTAATTATTAAGTAATAGGTAGGTATATGACTGTCAGCAAATTATATCTGAAATAATATGGGAAGCACAACCGACAGTTGATAAAGCTTATAAGTTCATATAACCATGGTAGTGATAATAGTTTTTTGCCCAAAGGGCTGAGTTTATTGGGCGGCAGCGCTGCTCATAGTAAAATAGTAATAATCAGTAGTGTTAAATCTACTATTAGCAAAAGCACTGATAATACTCTAGTAATACTATTTAAAATCAAATTGCTTGTAGTATATAATAGATTGTTAGATTACATTCTGAGGTTTGAGCTCAAGTGAATAAGCATTGTACTGCTCATTATGATATCTCATTTTGAACATTTCATCATTATTACCGTATTTTCCTAAAGATTTGATTACTGATATGTAGAGTCCTAAATGGAGGTGTTGGGGTTATTAATTGCTTGCCCGTGATGCTTCTGTTGATGCTGCTGATCACAGAGTATTTATCAATGAAATCACTGTGTGAAGGATTACAAGACTTATGACTCACACATTGGCACAATGTACTTGTTAAAACTGGTTATCGATTATCTTGTTAATCAGAACTTACATAATTGTAAACGAGTTGGGAGTTTGTGATCCAGATGTAGTTGTAATGTTACATTATAATCAGCACGTATTTAATGGGGTATTTTTTTTTAAATATGGATATGAATTAAAATTAATTGCAGCACCTGTAGGACACTTATTACAGAATTACAAAGTTATGTAATGGGACGTTTATTGTTGAATGTCGTACGAATTGTTCATGACAAGAGTTGAAAGTCTGTGTTAATTGCTCTGTATCATCTGTCATGAGGCTGTGTGTACTATTATCTCCGGGAAGGATGGGCGCGTGGATAACAAACCTCACATATTTTAACAAGAACACTGACAGTGCTAATCCTGTGGTTTCTCATTCTTTTAATCTTATGTTGATAGATGGAAATTTTGCATTTCACCCTGAGTATAAAAGGAAGAGGGAAGTGCCGGGACCTTGTTGTATTGGAAAATTATTGGAGCGCTGTTAGACAAACCAAGGTTATGCGGGCTTCCTAGTAATTGGTAGCTAGGCGCCATTATGTTAAGCTTTACCCGTGGTAAAATGGTAGTCAAACACTTCAGCTTTGAATTTAAATTTGTAAGTTGTTTTGTCTAAGCTTTATCTATTTTCTCTATTTTACTTCATAAATTGTTTATACTAATATTAGTTGTTTTAACAGTCAGATAATTCATCCGTTACGGACTCTCGTAAGTAGAAAAAACAGTACTAGAAACCGAATACGGGTACACCACAGGTACGTGAACGTCAGATCAATGTTGTTCTAATTGTTCTTAAGATTGTTATGTGAAATATCGGCATAGTTTTTCCAAGCCTCGAAAGTATTGAAATACTAACAAGAATAATTTGATAGAAGAGTTCATTAATCTTGACCAGCAGCTTGTGTTTTGATCGTGATAATCTTCATAAACTTGCCACCTGTCAAACTTTTACACAGGAAAATATCCACTACGTAGCAGTAGGCAGCAAGAGTACCTGAAGTATATCATGTGTAATGCCTGTAATTACTTTTTTGTTTAATCTTGTTTACGAGAGTTGCTGTTCATGAAAGACCTTGTGATTAGAACTAATTGCTACAAAAAATCTTAAGTTTCAATGCTTGGGAGTAAATTCAGTTTTTTACACTGCTTTGATCGTATCGAAGCAAATTGTTTAAATAAAACTTAGGACATACCGTAATAATGTTGCGGATAATATAGTTGTTGAGGGCTGAATCATTCATCGTTGTCTGTAACTGAAGGGAAAGGGGAAGTGTAAGTGAGCCCTAGAAACATTTCATACATCACCTACTGTTGGTTGTGGGTGTCGAGTCTCAGTACACCACAGTATACTGTTGGTTGTGGGTGTAGAGTCTCAGTACACCACAGTATACCGCACACTCGCTTGCTAGTGCGTACCTT